TTTTTTCATTTTGACCAAACAAAAAAAAGTTGAACTTTTATTTTCATTTTTCTTTACAAGATTTTTGTTTTCTTTATGTAATAGTCGATTTAATATCAAATGGTGAAATTGTCGTAAAAGTCAAATAGTGTTAACATTTTCTGTCATGAATAGTAAATCGTACAAGATAATATAATGATAGAGAAGATATTTCAATTCGATATCATTTTGACCAGTTTTGCATGATTGATTTACCTATGATATGGGCCGAAGAGGCCCATGAAGTATTATACTCTTTGACAAAAATGGTTATAATGTAATCTTTACACAACTGCACGACCCGCCGTTTGTAACTCGCTCAAACGGTGAAGCATATTCTTTAGATTGTACGTAACAGCGTGATGTTTACATATATCATCAACAAACAAACTAGCACCTCTATAAGTGTACAGCTTTCTCATAAAATCTAACTCTACAAGATGCAAGATCCCTTCTTTTGTAGAATAAGGTGTTTTATTTTCCCTTCGTCTCATCAAAGACACAAATGGAGTCCAAACTCTCTTTGAGAATTTTTGGAGCTTGCTTTTGCTTAGCTTTTAACCATCATAAGACTCGAACCAGACGGGCTGCAAATGCTCCATCCAATGAGTGTTTCACTGGATTCGATAAAAAGAAGCCTTGCGACGTTACAAAACTCGATGGTACAAATCTGTCTACTGGATCTACGGAGAACTCCTGTGAAAGCAGAGAGAGACTACTTGTTAATATCAACATCTATACAAAAGCAAATGGACTATACAGATTCTTACAGGATGTCTAAGGAGAAATGATTCAACCCTTCCTTGATTTTCTTCAGGGTCTATAGAGCAAGTACTGTATATCAAGAACCCACCAGGTTTCACTAATCTTTGGGATTTCATTCAGGACACAGAGAAAAGTATTAGAATCTTCGCACATTAGTTTTTCAGAATTAATCGAGTGACCAATTAAATCTATGTACAGAGTGTGCATACTTGGAGGCCGAATCAAGAAGTTCATCCTGCAGCTTTGTGAGTTCTTCCATGTCCTCAAGTTTACAGTTCCAACGCAGATCCGCTCTCTACAAAACAGAGAAAAGGGAACAGGTTATCAAATCAGGTTGAGGTTGAGCAATACAACTAGCCTAAGAAAAATCTTGCCGGTAAAACAGTTAATATAAAATTGCTCCTGCTAACCTTGGAGAGGACGCCGAGTCCAGAACACGGGGCATCGAGCAAAACTTTATCACATTGTACCTCATTGGTTTCCTAAAGCACATCGAGTTGGAAGCAAGCATGTCAGGAGCTTACAAACGTGGAAAGTTCACTTACTCAAATAGTGTTAACTTACGGCAAAGACACGGAGATCAGAATGAATGGTTGTGATAAGTCTATCAACTTGGTGTGATTTGGCTGTCTCCCCAAGAATTCTTAGTCGTCCTTCGTTCACATCCATAGCATATATCATACCTATAATCAATATGAGTTTGCCAGTTTGACAATGGAATCAGTAAAGTATAGCAAGAAACATACTCAAAATAGATTTCTTAATTTGGCATTGATGTACAGTATTGGTGAGATCTAAGAACTGCGAGCCTTTGTATATTACCTTGTCCTTTCAAGCAAGATGCCATGTAAAGGGTCTTCCCTCCAGGAGCAGCACATGCATCCATTATTCTCTCGCCCGGCTGAGGGTTCATTACGGAGACTACTAGTCCTGCGATGCCATATGTGGGGAGAGATATTTAAGTATGAAAAGATAAAAATAATTTGGAAACCTCATATCTATTTACAACACCAAGAATTAATGAAAGAGGAGACATGTTTTTTTCTTTCTCAGTAGCAGTCCAAATAATTACAAAACCAAAAACTGACCTGCACTCTCATCTTGAACAGAACATATGCCTTCTTTGAGTAAACCAGCTTGCACGACGCTCTGCTCAAAGAAAAGCACGATGATCAATCTCTAATTAAAAGTTATCAAAAGAATTTTTAACAAGAGGATAATCCACAATTGCATTATATACACCTGCAAGCCTGTTTTGATGCGGACAAACTCCTCCAAGTGTAAGGACAGCTCGTGTGGAACCTGCAGCAAAAGAAAGGCAAAATAGAAGTAAGAAACTAAGCATTTAAAAGAAACAATCATGTGCCTGTTTTTACACTAGCACAATGATTTCGATTTGGATAATCAAAAGGACATGAAAGATTAAACGAAGGAAATACCTTTAAACTATTTAGACGCTCCACAAGGGCTGATCTTGTAATGTCCCTTCCCATATTGGCCCTGATACATTAGATAAAAACAATGATCTGCCGGATAGTCGATAACTCTTCTTTCTTTCTGTGAAAAGAAAATGAATTCTGGAGATAAACCTTAAGCTAAATCCAGGATCGTTGTTGTTCCATATCATCAGCTTTGTGGCTTCATCTAACCCAAGATACTTTACCCATCGTCTAACCATCCACTGGGTAAGAAGGAAAGAAAATCTTACTTTCTTTCATCAAACAGGAACTAGGCCTCATTGCATTTGATTGGCACTACATTGATATGTTCACAGCTAAAGACCAAGTTATCTAGAAGCCTCAAAAGTTCAAAGTTTCGATTGCACACCATGACACAGCTCTAGCTTCATATCAATAATGCAAGAAAAGATGAGGTTATAGCACCAGAACTTACAACGGGATGTGAATGAAGCGTAGCAAGTGCACGTGCTTGTGCACGATCATCCCCTTCCACTTTGGGTAATGGAAGGGCATCTTTTTCCTGCAGATCCCTACGTCAGAATTCATACAAGCTTAATTTTTTTTTACTAAACTCGACTGGAGAAAAAAAATGGAAAAGAGGCCTAAGAAAGAGAAACCTTAAGAGAGACTAGCTTACGAAGAATCCCATTGACAAGATCTCCGGCACCAGGTCTAAGGGCAACCTTTGCAAGCCTTACGTTCTGAAATTGAGACAAGTAAACAGCAGAGGGATAGAAGAAAGCCTTAACCTCACTAAACATAAATTACACAATGAAGTTTGAAAATTTGGCGTGTTGAGTATTCAACAAAGACCAAACCTATATTTGGATCCATTTATACAGCAAACTGAGAGAGAAAATCAATAGAGAACTAGTGCAACTAATATGCATAAAAAAAAATTGCCAAATATTTTTGCAGAAATAAGAAAGGCTGGGTTATACCTCATCTACAACAGCATATGGAGGCATATCAAGCTTTAAGATCTCATAGAAACCAATGCGGAGAATCTGCAACAGAGAATAAAGTTTAAGGTTCAAGAGACCTGACTGTGACAAGAATAATTCACAGGGGGAATTGATACCTGCAATAGAAGAGGTTCCATATTTCGAAATGTCCTTTCGTTGTGGCAAAGGGAACCAATCAAATGATCAAGATACCTCCTCCACCGTATTGTTCCTCCAACAACATCTGTAACCTAATTGTTTGCAAAATAATTGACTTTTAAGAAACCACAGTTTTCCAAATCCTAAATTCAGTCCACTTGAAGGTTTCGACTAAATGGGCTAGGGAAAGACAGGGAATTGTAAAACACTAACCAGTCTAAGATCCCGGTCATCCAAATCGCGTGTCCGAAAACCGATTGTCCTTTCTACATAACTCATCTCATTGCTCCCAGAACCTTTCCCTTTCTCATTCAAAAGATCAGCAAACGCACCACCATACTCAATTCTCATCAATCTGACTGCAGATACTGTAGAAACTCCACAAACAGAAACTCAGTAATACTGATTCAAAGACTCCAAAAAAGACTAACCTACTCGCTAACATTATAACTCTCCCGGACAGTGGTGTGCGAATCCGTAACTAAAGCAAAAGGGATTACTTTACCAGCTCTATGTGGAGAAACCTCCAAATTCAGATTCTGGGGTTTATGTATTGGAGCCACGGGACCTACATAATAAGAAAATTTCCGAGTAAAGCACAGTGACTGAAGACGGAACCAGACAACACAGAGTCGATGCTGCCATTATCTCTCTTTTTGTCTCAAAGACACAAAAGTAGAATCTCATTTTACCTCTGTTACCGGAAGAAAAAGGTTTGCGAGTCTTTTGGGTTCGGTGCTTAAACGACTCTGGAGAAGCTTTCTGCGTTTCAGCAGAGAGATAAACGCGAAATGAGAGCAATTGCGCCATTGATGATGCGCTCTCTAACCTTCATTCAGCTTAGGATAATGGGAAGGATTGTAAAAGCTTTATCGTAATGTACTTTCAGACCGAACCTTCTTCTTGAGGAAGAGGTTTCTCTGGAGTGATAGATAGAAGCGACGGTTAAAAGGCCTAAAGCCCATACTTTTAAAAAAGGGCCACTTAAGGGTAAAACCGTAATTACATCAACAGTGTTCTTCCTCGATATATATATATATATTTTTTTAATTTCGCAACCCTAGTTGCAGGCGGCGGCTTCAGGTCTCCCCAAACTTTTCCGATTAGTAAGCTTTTGATCTTTACTCTTTTCAGTTAAAAATATCATAATTTATAATGCTTATTTACACCTATTTTTTTCCAAAAATGTAAAACTTTTTAGTACACTAGTTCGAAGGCTGATAAAAAAAGTCTACTAATTTGAGTTATGTTTCTGTAGAAGTCATGTGGTTTAGAATAGCCACTTCACGTGCAGTGCTGAGATCATTGTTTCTTTTTAAATAAGTAAAGGGAACCCGTGACTTCTCTCTCTTTCTCTATCTATCTCTCACTACAAAACCTTTGCACGGGCGTGACACGTAAGCATAGCTGCCCTTTTTCCTCTTTTCATTATTGAGTTTAATGTGTCTTCAAGGTACAACTTCATAATGCATAGTTTATTTTCTTGGGGTTTGTTTTGATGGTTTTGATCTGTTATTACTTATAGAAAAGGAGTACTTTCATTTGAGGGGCGCATTGCTACTTCTTTAAGCTCTTTTCATTGACCAAATCTCCGGCGAAAGCTTGTGGGATCAGTGTTTTAGTGTTAGTTGGTTCGCTTGTCTGTGTTGTAGTTGGATTGTAAGAGAGCTAATCTTTTTCTTTTGCCGGTGAAGTTTGGGAGTGAATGGCTACTTTTCATTCTGTTAAAGATGCGGTGAAGCTCTTCAACTCTGGAGGAAAACATCTCCACAAGAGGCAAGAGCAGGTATGTTTCTTTCTCTCTTTGTAACATTTGTGTTTTTCATGATGTGGTGTTCTGCAAGAATTTCTTCTAAGTTTGGTTGTGGTTGCAGGGAGTGTTGTTGGAGGAGACAAATGTCTGTCTCTTGAATGAAGAGGTTAACAAGTTGAAGGAAAAGATAAAAGATGTTGAGAAGACTAAGATTGAAGCTTTGTTAGAGCTTGAGGAAGCAAAGAAAACTATTGAGCAACTCAATCACAAGCTGGGGATTAGGCAGAATTACATGAGAAATGATGGTGAAGCTTTAGAGTTGAGTAGTAATGCGAGTGTTGTGACTTCAGAGCTAGGCTTTGCTAAGGAATCAATTCGTAGAGTAGCTGAAGAGGTGAGTGAATTGGGAATTAAACAGAATATGAGAAATGATGGTAAAGCTTTAGATTTTAGTAGTAATGTGAGAGTTGTGACTTCAGAACTAGGCTTTGCTAAGGAATCGCTTCATAGAGTAGTTGAAGAGGAGAGTGAATTGTGTATATTAATGAAGTCTCTTAAGCTCGAGCTTCAAAACGTGAAGAAAGAACATTCACAGCTTATTAGAGAGAATGAGGAGAGAGAGATTGAGAAGTTGAAGAAAGAAGCTGAAGATGCAAAGACCGAGCTCTTGATGCTCGAAGAAGAGCTCAATACTGCTCTTTTCGAAGCTGAAGAAGCAAAAGTTGCAGAGAAACACGCCGATGAACGCTTAAATAGTGCAGAGACTTTGGTTTTACAATCTGACTTCAGATTATTAGATGAGAGGAAAGAAAGTGGTGTTGTTGAATTAAGTGAGACTGAAGCGTTAAGAGCTTGCAGAGATGAAACACTAAAGAAACTAGAGATGAGTGAGAAAGAGATTAAAGATATTGAAGCTGCAACACAAAATGCGTTGAAGAAAGCTGAGATGGCCAAGGAAGCTACAATCATGGTGGACTTAGAGCTTAAACGAAGGCGTAAAGCAGCGAGTAAGATCTTAGCAGAATCCAAAATGTGTGCCAAATCTTTACCCTCTACAAAGGAAGTGCACAAGGCGAAACCGAGATCATCGTCCAAAGAAGGTTGTTTGGTCAAGTGTTAGAAGAGCCTTGTAAAATTGTGAAAATTCTCTGTAACTCATAACTATAACTCTTGAAGAAGTTGTAACTTTGTTAGTCATGTTCAAAGTTGGAACCATTAATAAGGCAAAACATTCAATATCATCATCATATAACTAACAAAAGAAAATTGATGAAATTAGCATATTTACTCACTCTGCTATTTCAGTGAATTTCGTTTTTAACAGCATCAGTGAAAAGTCACTGATTACAAAACAAACAAAAAAATTAGTTAAGGTCGGTTTAAGAAAATGTTAATACGCGTTTATATATAAATTGAAGCTTTCTTTTTATTTATTTTTTTCTTCGTCTCTCTTTCGTAACGCGCCTGAGTCCTCTCGTCCTTATCTCGATCTTCGTTGATTGTCTCTCTGATCTGGAATTAGGTTTTTTTTTTCTTTCTTCTGAAGATGACGACTGCAGCTCGGCCAACGTGGGCTCCGGCGAAAGGAGGTAACGAGCAGGGTGGTGCTCGGATCTTCGGCCCGTCTCAGAAGTATTCGTCTCGTGATGTCGCAGCTCACACAACTTTAAAGCCAAGGTGAGATTTCGAAACTGGGCTCCTTCCTTGATTCGACACGGATCCGAGTTACACGTGAATTCAATCGAAATTTTGTTTGATTGATTGGAATTTTTAGATATCTAGGGTTTTTTTATTGCAATCGAGTAGTTTATACGGTCTTTTGGTAGCTGAGGTCGGTAGTATCGTGGCCTATTTGTTGCCAGGTTCTTGTTGTAGTTTTGAGGATCGAGAGTTATAGATTATGTTGCTGTGTAAGAGATTTGATCTTTCAATGACTTATTTGTGCTTGAGATTTGAAAGATACTAGTTTCTATTTACGTATATCTGTCTTGTTTTCTATGGTATGTATCATAACTTTTCCTGCTTCTGTTTGGCAGGAGGGAAGGGCAACACACTGAAGAGGAATTGCAGAAGAAAAATCTTCGTGATGAGCTTGAAGAGCGTGAGAGGAGACATTTCTCATCTAAAGACAAAGCTTTCAGTGGTAAGATAATAAAACTTCAAGCCTTTTCAATTTGATTTTGTTAAATTCCTATCCTTTTTCTCTACTGCATCTGGACTAATGAGGTTTTTTTTGTTATCATTAGATGATAGAGATCGCAGAAGAGGAAGTCAACTTTTACTGGACGGTGAGAGAAAGTCATTTTTTTTTTGTAATTTGATTGTGCATCATGTCACGATCGTTATTTGTGTGTTTATACGATAGTTTGATCATATGTCTTCTAACGTGGATGCCCTGTGTTTAGGCTCTAAAAGGGATCCTGAAGATCGGATTATTCCTCGCAATGTA